GATATGTTTCCCCATTGAGATCTGATGTGTTATCAAAGTTTTCCTTTTATTTGTTTGAGCGGTGTATATTAGCACACCAAAAGGCAGCAGATAACAGAGGTCTATTGTTAGGATTTACATGGACGTTAAATAGCACTTTAGGACACCCTTATTATTTCTAGAAAAATAGAAATAAACTAAAATGACAATCACAGAACCTACAGTAAGTGTAGGGGATACTGAATGCTGCATAAAGCTTCTAAATATACTCATGTGACATGACATGATTCAAACATCTGTATTGAGCCATTTAGCTAAATAAAGTATAAATGGAATAAATGCTACCAGATCATGTTCCAAGTGATCCTATTAGGAGGTTGTATATCAAAGGTCTTACAGGCACACCATTGTAAACATAAAACGTACAATGTTTTCCAAGTTTAAAGCAATGAACTATGACTGTTTCCCTAAATGTCAATGGTAGACTTCTTTCACATTATTTGCCGCCTGCGTGAGTTGTACTTTGACGTGAAGTGCCATTCTCCCCCCCCTTAACCAACCTGACCAAAATGATGCGATCGTGGTAGTAAAACCAATAAAATTAGTACTATTACTATTATTATTATTATTATAATACAGGATTTATATATAGCACTTTACAAAATAAAGGGTGATAGTATGGTTACAATATGATTTCAAGAGAATTCAGAGGGCCCTGTTCATTAGAGCTTAAAGCTCTGGCCAAAGGTTTTGAAAATTACACAAATATTAATTTTCACAAAGTCTGCTGCCTCAGTTTTTATGATGATGTTTTTTGATGGCAATTTGTGTGATCAGATCAATTGCAATTATTAAAAAAAAATTCCACTGCATTTCAGCCCTGCCACAAAAGAACCAGCTGATATCATGTCAGTGATGTCAATGCTGACAAGGACAATGCTAGAGATTACTCTGTCATGCTGATTGAGTTATAATAACAGACTGGAAGCTTTAAAAGGAGGGTGGTGCTTGAAATCATTGTTCTTCCTCTGTTAACCATGGTTACCTGCAAGGAAACACGTGCAGTCATCATTGCTTTACACAAAAAGGGATTCACAGGCAAGGATATTGCTGCTAAGATTGCACCTAAATCAACCAAATATAGGATCATCAAAAACTTCAGGGAGAGAAGTTCAATTGTTGTCAAGAAGGCTTCAGGGTGTCCAAGAAAGTCCAGCAAGCTCCAGGACCGTCTCCTAAAGTTGATTCAGCTGTGGGATCGAGGCACCACCAGTGCAGAGCTTTCTCAGGAATGGCATCAGGCAGGTGTGCAGGAGTACATCTGCACACACAGTGAAGCGAAGACTTTTGGAGGATGGCCTGGTGTCAAGAAGGGCAGCAAAGAAGCCACTTCTCTCCATGAAAAACATCAGGGATAGACTAATATTCTGCAAAAGGTATAGGGATTGAACGGCTGAGGACTGGGGTAAAGTCCCCTTTTCAATTTTTTGGGTCATCTGGAAAAACATTCTTCGGAGAAGAAAAGTGCTACCATCAGTCCTGTATCACGCCAACAGTAAAGCATCCTGAGACAATTCATGTGTGGGGTTGCTTCTCAGCCAAGGGAGTGGGCTCACTCACAATTTTGCCTAAGAACACAGCCATGAATAAAGAATGGTACAAAAACATATTCCGAGAGCAACTTCTCCCAACCATCCAAGAACAGTTTGGTGATGAACAATGCCTTTTCCAGCATGATGGAGCACCTTGACATAAGGCAAAAGTGATAACTAAGTGGCTTGGGGAACAAAACATCACAATTTTGGGTCCATGGCCAGGAAACTCCCCAGACCTTAATCCCATTGAGAATTTAAGGTCAATCCTCAACGAGTGAACAAAAAACCCCACAAATTCTGACAAATTCCAAGCATTGATTATGCTAGAATGGGCTGCCATCAGTCAGGATGTGGCCCAGAAGTTGATTGACAGCATGCCAAGGCGAATTGCAGAGGTCTTGAAAACAAGATCAACACTGGAAACATTGACTCTTTGCATAAACTTAATGTAATTGTCAATAAAAGCCTTAGACGCATATGGAATGCTTGTAATTATACTTCAGTATGCCATAGTAACATCTGACAAAAAGATCTAAAAACACTGAAGCAGCAGACTTTGTGTAAATGAATATTTGTGACATTCTCAAAACTTTTGGCCAGAGCTGTACAATCTAAAAGGAAGTTATACAAAGAGGTAGTAACTGTGGGGGATGAGTTGATGAAGAAAGTCAAAGTTCTGTTTATCAGTCAGAGGCAGGATAGGCCTCTCTGAAGAGCAGGGTTTCAGGGATTGCCTAAAGGTGGATAGCATAGGCGGTAGCAGGACAGATTGGGGTGAGAAATTCTAGAGAATGGGAGAACACCAACTTGTCTCTTTCTTGCACTTTAGGAGTGTCTGTGGTCTGTATCCCCCATTCAACTCATAAGCCTGCACAACCATTTTAAAAAAGAAAGGCTGATGGCCTGCTTTTTTTTCTTTGCTGGACCCACCAATAAGGCCCGTGCTTGATCCCTCATGTGCACTGTATGGGATCAGGTGAGAATAAGTATGATTTATATGTTGCCATGGAAGCAAAGTAAACGTCAACGCTCACTAGTTATGCATTTGGTAAACATTTATTTTTGTATTAAACACAGCATAGGTTCATCAAATTTGTCTTTGTAATAGCTTACTTCTTAGCATAGAGTATATACAAGCAGTGCAGTGTGGTAGTACACTTGGTTACATAGTTAGTCTGGCTGAAAAAAGACAAAAGTCCATCCAGTTCAACCATTAAAAAAAAAAAAAAAGTTATAATCCTATACCCACAGTTGATCCAGAGGAAGGCAAAAAAAAAAAATCCCAGCAAAGCATGATCCAATTTGCTCCTGCAGGGAAAAAAATTCCTTCCTGATCCCCCGAAAGGCAATCGGATGTTCCCTGGATCAACTTTACCTATAAATGTTAGTATCCAATTATATTCTGTGTATCTAAGAAACAATCCAGGCCTTTTTTTTTAAAGCAATCCACTGAGCTGGCCAGAACCAACTCTTGAGGGAGTCTATTCCACATTTTCACAGCTCTTACTGTGAAGAAACCTTTCCGAGTTTGGAGAATAAATCTCTTTTCCTCCAGATGTAAAGAGAGTGCCCCCTTGTCCTCTGTGATGACCTCAGGGTGAATAGCTCTACACCCAGTTCACTGTATGAACCACTGATGTATTTATACATGTTGATCATATCCCCCCTTGATCTCCTCTTCTCAAGAGGGAAGAAATTCAGTTCCTCTAATCTTTCCTCATAGCTGAGCTCCTCCATGCCTCTTATCAGTTTGGTTGCCCTTCTCTGTGCTTTCTCCAGTTCCCCAATGTTCTTTTTGTGAATTGGTGCCCAAAACAGAACTGCATATTCCAGATGAGGTGTTACTAATGATTTGTACAGGGGTAATATGATATCTCTCTCTCTGGAGTCTATACCTCTTCTAATACAAGAGAGGATTTTGCTCACTTTAGAAACCGCAGCTTGGCATTGCATGCCATTATTAAGCTTGTGATCTACCAGAACTCCCAGATCCTTCTCCACCATTGATTCCCCCAGTTGTACCCCCCTAGTATGTATGATGCATGCATATTCTTAGCCCCCAAGTGCATAACATTACATTTATCAACATTAAACCTCATTTGCCACATAGTTGCCCAATTAAACAGTGCATTGAGGTCGGCTTGTAAATTGAAGACATCCTGTAAGGACGTTATTCCACTGCATAGCTTGATGTCATCTGCAAAGACTGAAATGGTATTTTTAATCCCAGACCCTATATCGTTTATAAATATATTAAAAAGTAAGGGTCCCAACACTGAACATGGGGTACACCACTGACAACCCTAGACCATTCAGAGTATGAATCATTAACCACCCATAACTATACCACCCGTTATTCTGGGAGCTCTTAAGGTGACCAAACTCTGAGTCTATACTAGTGAAAGAGCTGGTCTTCATCTGCTCCTGTGTGGAACAACATGAAGGAATGTTTCCCTAAAGGAAATAAATGATTGTAGCATATTGTATAAAGGGAACATTTTATAACATTCTAGCAACTTGAGTTTTTGGCTGACGTCCATGACATGTAAACGTATTGCCATACATTTATCAAAACATCTTGCAGTTTTAATGGAGTTTGCTATGTTCCAGTATAGTTCTCTGCAGAAAAAATGCGGCATGTTCTACTTTTTTTTCTGCACCAGAAACTGACTGCACTGGTGTGAACTAGGGCCATTGGAATACCTGGAAAACATTATGCATGCATTTTGATGCAGAAAAAAACACAGTGGACTGCATCTAATGTGAACTAGCCCTTATTCATATCAAATACGTACAAGTATACTGTATAGGATAGAGCCACTGGTTTATGGAACCACACTCACATGCCAAAAAAAAACATTGGTAGACCTGTTTTAAAGAATAGTGGCTTGCAGGTACACGGTCACGTGGTCTGGTTAGGTCCTAGGAGCAAGCAGGTACCTGCAAATTTATACAGGGAAGCCTGCTAAAGTGTAAGGAGTGAGTAGGTATCAATTAACCACTTTCTAAGCACGCTATAGCAAAATGATGGCTACAGTGCGGTTGTCCACTTCTGGAAGGGCATCATATGGCATCCTTCCAGAAATCACCCTCCTGCGTGCCCCCAGCGGCGCGCACCTGGTGATCTCTGTAATCGCTATGTCCTACGGACATAGCTGATCACATGATGAGGGAAAAGGCCAATCACAGCGGCCTTTTACCACGTGATCAGCTGTGTCCAATGACACAGCAGATCACGGAGTAAACACAGTTGCCGGTCATTGGCAGAACTTTCCTCACGCTGTCACATATGTGACAGAACAGATCGGCATTGACCACCAGTGCCCAGCAGTGCCACCCATCAGTGCTGTACAAACAGCTGTGCCCATCAGTAACCAGCAGTGCCGCCAGTCAGTACTGATTGTCAGTACTGTCAGTCAGCTCCACCCGTCAGTGTCACCCATCAGTGCCGCCGATCAGTGCCCATCATTGCTGCATATCAGTGCAGCATCATCATTGCCGCCTCATCGGTGCCACCTCATCACGAAGGAGAAAAATTACCTGTTTGCAACATTTTATAATAAAAACAAAAGAAAAACATTTTTTTTTCAAATTTTTTTATTTTGTTTATAGTGCAAAATTTAAAACAGCCAATGTTGATTAAATACCACCCAGGGGCGGACTGGCCATTTGGAAACTCGGGCACTGCCCGAGGGCCCGGGGTCAGTAGGAGGCCCCATGAGATGCCCCTGGTACCTTTTTCAAGCTTTTTTGAGCTTGGGCAAGGACACAGGGGCCCCATGATCCCCTATTGCCCAGGGGCCCCATGAGTTGTGAGTCCACCCCTGATACCACCAAAAGAAAGCTCAATTTATGTGAAAAAAACAATTATAAAAATTTCATATGGGTACAGTGTTGCATGACCGCGCAATTGTCATTCAAAGTGCAACAGTGCTGAAAGCTGGAAATTGGCCAGGGCAGGAAGGGGGTAAAATTTCCCTGTAGGCAAATGGTTAAGGTAAGCCAAGAAGTGCACATGTAGCCAGTGAACCTGAATCTAGTGCCAGTCCACTGTCTCTTTGCAAACGTTCGTGTTTTGTCACCTCTGCTAAAATGTAGAAAATAAATCTAAACTTCTGATACATTGGGACTGTGCATGTGTAGTGCACTTGCACTCATTTTCACCAGAGCTTAGTGAATGCGGTGAAGCTTCACTTTGTAAAGAATACCGAATCAGGTGCAAGGAAAATGAGAAAAAAAACAGCATTTGTGCTTGCATGATTGGATGTTGGAAATCAGCAGAGCTTCACCACATTTACTAAGCTCTGGGGAAAATGAGGGCAAATGCACTTGCAAAGTGTGCAGTCTATTTAGCCTTTAGTAAATCAACCCCAGTGCCTCTCTATTTATGGGGTAGTGCCTCTGTATCACACAGCCTCTGGCAACATCTATTAAGGGGGCAGTCACTTTTCATTGCTCAGCCTCTGGCACCATCTATTTATGTATTACAGTCTTCACTGGGCAGTCTGTATGGCACATAAATAGGTTTATTTACTAAAGCTGGAGTGCGCAAATCAGGCTCACTTCTGCATAGAAACCAATCAGCTTCCAAGTTTTATTACCAAAGCTTAAAGTGTTACTAAACCCACAGCTGTAAAACCAGTCTGTATATGCATTAAAGCACACTTGTTATACTCACTGTGGAACCGAAGGGGTTAATCCTCCGCATTGTGTAAACAGGATGTTTGATCCTGTCTTCTCTGATCCTCCCCTTCTACTTTGCCCAATCCATCTGCTGATAGTACAGAGCTCTAGGAGTCATTCTAGCAAGACACACTAAACTCAGCATGTGCAGAGTTTTTTTTTTTCTTGGGAGAGTGTATGTGATCAGCACAGGGACAATCAGCACTGTCCAGACAGAGGTCAGGGGTTCTGCAGCCTCATAGGACCATCAGGGGAGAATGAAAACTCCTCCTAGAAACTTTAACCAGTGTTTAGCTGGACACTGATAGAAGTCACAAGACTGCTGTAACTGCTGATGAGAAAAAGTATTTAGCAGTTTATAGTACAAAAAGAATTGCATTTCATGTTGTGTGTACTGTGGGAGACCAGATATAGTGAATGCAGGGTCCTGGGTTTAGTAACACTTTAATTGAACAAGCTGAGGTTAGAAGCTGATTGGTTTGTATGCAGAAGTAAGCCTGATTTTGCACTCTCCAGCATTAATAAATAAACCCCAGTGTGTCTGTATCATGTAGTCTCTAGCAATACAGAGAACTTTGTTCATAACCCAGCCTTTCTAGCAGTGCATAGCCAAATGTGTGGAAGTTTCTAGTGTTGGTAGTCCTTCAGTAGCCCAGCAGTATATGTGATATGCCAGCTCTTATTTAATATGCAGTGGAAAATGCAGGCTCAAGGTCTGCAGGTTGAGTTGTGGATACATATGGAGGGTGCTGCGTGTTTGCAACCGAGTAAAGGTCTGTGAAACTTGACTAGCACAGGTCTCTACAATGTTGGCTTTTTTTTTTCTGTAAATCTACCATTCTTAAGTGGAAGGGTGAAAACAATCACTGGCCATTTCTTCCTATAAACAACATAGAAGTTTTCCATTTATATAAGCCAGAGAACTTAAGAGAGAACAAACAAAAATTAACAACACAGACCATAACTTTACAAGTTAAGATCCTGGGACATCTATGTACACAGCCCCGCACAAATGTTTACAACCGTCAATGGTTTTCTACACCATTCTCTTCTGTGAAATTAAAAGCAGACCTCAGGACAGATGGAAGAGATGGAATCTTGAATGTACAGACAATATTCATTTATGCACACTGACACCTAGTGGTCACTACTGTTCCTATACATTTCCTTTAGCAGGACTAGCCATTTAAAGTGGACCTAAGAAACAACAGTAAACATTTTCCGTAAGTGCATGCATGTTAAGATGAATTAAAAATAGCAAAGTGTGCTATTCCTATAGATATATTTTATGTGCACAATATCAGATATGCTGCTATGTATTAGCATGATCACCCCTAATGATAATATTGAAAATAGTAAAGTAAAGCACAATGCACTGCACTTTATTTTACTATTTTAGATGCCAAGTGTGATGCAACTGTACATATAACACTTATAGGTATTTCTTATTTATTTTTGATTGCAGGTTTTTTTTATATAGCACTGACAATTTACTAAGCGCTATATATCCACACACACACACAAAACTAACAGAACATTTTTTAATCAGAGTATAGCATCAAGTCAATTAAACTCCTGGGATAAAGATAAGAGTGCAGCGCTTATAAAGATAAATAAAACACATAAAATTACATAACAAAGTGTATAACTGCAAACAAACGCAGGTAAATAAAAGTTCTGTTCCTGTCACTAATGGAGTGACTCAATAGTAAAGGTGCTCAGTTCACAATCTCAATTGGTGGAGTGAAGTGGGGGATCAGTTGGATCCCTGTTGGTATATGGTGATGACCAAAAAAATGATATATACCAAAATTAATATAAGATTGTGCACTCACCAGATGCACAATCAATATGCGCATATAAGAGAACCCCTCTTAAGGTATGACTCCAGGGCTCATCTGAAGCAAGGTCTGGTCTAGTTCTGCGTTGTGGACCCTCAGCTGTCACACATGGCTCTGTCTCCTATTGCTCTTGACTCTGTAGGTAATTGGAAGCTCACCCAAGAGCCCTGGCTCCGGTCCCACGACGATCCGGTCCAGGAAGCGCGGCTGCTCCTTCAGTTAGGCCACTGGATGTTCGCGCGCGGCTGCTCGGCTCCGCCTCCTCAAGGGGGTATGGGGTATAGGACAGTGTATGGGGGATGCATGGAGTGTGTTATGGGGTATAGGAGAGTGTATGGTAGATGCGTGGAGTGTGTTATGGATGGTGAATAGGGGACGCATGGAGTGTGATATGGGGTATAAGAGAGTGTATGGGGGATACATGGAGTGCATTACGGGGTGTAGGAGAGTTTATGGGGGACGCATTGAGTGCGTTACGGGGTATTGGAGAATGTATGGGGACGCATGGAGTGTGTTATGGAGAAGGCATGGAGTGCACTTTGGGGTATAGGAGAGTGTATGCGGGATGCATGGAATGCGTTATGGGGTATATGAGAATGTATGGGGGATGCATGGAATGTGCTATGGGAGACGCATGGTGTGTGTTATGGGGTTTTAGAGAGTGTAAGGGGGACACATGGTGTGTGTTATGGGGTATATGAGAATGTATGGGGGATGCATGGAATGTGCTATGGGAGACGCATGGTGTGTGTTATGGGGTTTTAGAGAGTGTAAGGGGGACACATGGTGTGTGTTATGGGGTATATGAGAATGTATGGGGGATGCATGGAATGTGTGCTATGGGAGACGCATGGTGTGTGTTATGGGGTTTTAGAGAGTGTAAGGGGGACACATGGAATGTGTTATGGGGTATAGAAGAGTGTGTATGGGGGATGCATGGAGTGTGTTATGGGGTTATAGGTGAGTGTATGGAGGACACATGGGAGTGCATTATGGGGTATAGGACAGTGTATGGGAGATGCATGAAGTGTGTTATGGGGTATAGGAGAGTGTATGGTAGATGCGTGGAGTGTATTATGGATGGTGAATAGGGGACACATGGAGTGTGTTGGGGTATAGGATAGTGTATGGTAGATGCGTAGATTGCGTTATGGATGGTAAATAGGGGACGCATGGAGTGTGTTATGGGTATAGGTGAGTGTAAGGGGGACACATGAGAGTGCATTATGGGGTATAGGACAGTGTATGGGGGATGCATGGAGTATGTTATGGGGTATAGGAGAGTGTATGGTAGATGCGTAAAGTGTGTTATGGATGGGGAATAGGGGACGCATGGAGTGTGTTATGGGGTATAGGAGATTGTATGGGGGACGCATGGAGTGTGTATGGGGGACGGATGGTAGTGCGTTATGGGGTATAGGACAGTGTATGGGGGATGCATGGAGTGTGTTATGGGGTATAGACGAGGATTTTGGGAGATGTATGGAGTGTGTTATAGGGGTTGCATGGAGTGTGTTATGGGTTATAGGATAGTGTATGGTAGATGCATGGAGTGTGTTATGGATGGTGAATAGGGGATACATGGAGTGCGTTACGGGGTATAGGAGAATGTATGGGGATGCATGGAGTGTGTTATGGAGACTGTATGGCGGACGCGTAGACTGTGTTATGGAGGAGGCATGGAGTGCGCTTTGGGGTATAGGAGAGTGTATGGGGGATGCATGGAGTGTGTATGGGGACGCATGGGAGTGCATTATGGGGTATAGGACAGTGTATGGGGATGCATGGAGTGTGTTCTGGGGTATAGACGGGTATGGGGGAGATGTATGGGAGTGTGTTTATGGGGATGCATGGTGTGTGTTATGGGGTTTAGGATAGTCTATGGTAGATGCGTGGAGTGTGTGTTATGGATGGTCAATAGGTGACGCATGGAGTGTGATATGGGGTATACGACAGTGTAT